TTTGCTCTGATCCTACAGATGATGATAGGAGCATCATGACTGAACAGTTAGAGACTGTTCCTAAAGAGGAGAAGGCAGAGAGAGAATTGCGAAGATCATCTCTCGATAAGCATAAAAAAGAGAAACCTTTTAAAACTGGGAGAGGCAGGATTTCTACTCCTGAAAGGAAAATAGCTAAAAAGGAACCTAGCACACTCTCCAGAGATGAAGTGAGAAGGAAAAAAGGTTCATTTAACACTCCCTATTACAATTTTTTTTTTTTTTTTTTACTGTTGCACAGTACTATCCGGTTACTCTGTGGTAGATGATGTGTACCTTTACAGTATTAATGGTAGTGCTTTTTAATGAGATATTGTACAACTATATGAAAAGCCATGTGCAAGGCTCACTGCTCCACTGGTCCCGTTTCAATTGTAGGCATCCCCGCTGATCACTGGGTAACACATCTGAGGTTAATGCACCCGTGCTCCCCCTCTTCCACTTAGGATTTCTTCACCCCAGTAGAAGTGACGCATCAGGTTGGAGTTGTGGAGCAGTGGGCCTGCCACTTGATGTATTGTCATATGAAAGTGTTTGCTGGTTTTTTCCTGATTCTGTGTTTTTGTGTTTTCTTGTCCATAGCAGTGTATAAGAAAGCTGAACTTGCTAAAAAAACTGAAGTTCAGGCCCACTCTCCCTCCAGGAAAATCATTTTAAAACCTGCTATCAAATATACTAGACCAACTCATCTCTCCTGTGTTAAACGGAAGCAGACAGGTGACTGCGTTCTGTTCAGTTATGCAATGTGGCTGGCAAACATAGACTTTTTTCTTTTGGTAAATTTCATGGCTATAGCAGCTTCTCTACTTTTTATTTTTTCCTCCAAGAATATCAGTCTTCACAAATAGTATTGCTTTTTTAGTGTGTTGCATTATTTTTCTTTTCTTCTTTCTTTCCTGGTATTTGTTTATTTAACGGAGGCCATGATCATGTATGCTTGTCATTGCTCGGACTTCTAAGTGCTGTGGTTGTAACTTGGCATCGTGCTTATAGTGTGATGTTGTAGGAATCTCTACTCATCATTTTGTTCGGTGGTTTTTTGTTGTTGTTTTTTTTTTTTTTAATTATGCCTTTTTCTTTTCTGGTGGGAAAATGTTGGCAGCTTAAACCATGGTATGCTTTTCCATTATTTTGCTTTTTTACTCTCATGCATAATAAGAAGTGTTTCAGACTTATATTTTGTTGATTGATGTTATCTGCATTGACACTTCCCAATCTGTCGCTGATGTTTATGCTGTACAGTCAAAATCCACAGGGGGAATCCAGCCACATGCAGCATGAAGCTGAGAGAGAAGAAATCTGGGCTCATACTACGAATGCATTCCAAGCAAAAATCTTAATATTTGGTACAGGAAGATGAAAGGATGAAACAAATGATTGCTGTTACATCTTGATAGGTGTATCCTAATTTAGAGGATGAAAAAGAACACTTTTAGCATTTTCATCATATTATTTGTTACTGTGTGCTCCAGGTGGAAAGATGAACTTGATTTTTCTGGTGATCTTTGGGGAAAAAAAAAAAAAGAAAAATTTTGCTAAAAGAGGCCAGGTTTTCTGTCATGTAACATAGCTGCATGCTGCAGTGCAGTTGTTTGTGAGTGAAACTAGGGCTAGTAAGAGAACCACCATACTCAGCAATGCAGAACTACAGTGGCCTCTTCTCATGGCTTAGAAATTAAGAACAGGATTTATTACCCGTCCTATAGTAAAACAGTGCAATACCAAAAGTGTTCATAAGAAGTCGCTCCCATCTAGTTTTGCACCAATGAGTCACTCCTGTTCTAATTTAGACCAGTCTCAGTGTGGAGGTCTGACTAGTGAAAATACAGTAAAAGGATAGCTACACAAGGGTAGCTTTAATATCGTGCCTCATCTGTGCGAAGCATGTATTGTCTCCTGGTTGCATTCCATTAGGACAACAGACCTAAATACTTGGTCCCATTGCCTTGCTCCTGTGTGGGAATCTGGTGCTTTTCCTTCCCCCCTCACAAGAAATGGAGCCAGGGAAGGAAATGCTGATCCAGGCCCCTCTGTTGCAGAGATGGCTCTTCCTCAGTTTGCAGTCTCTGGGCTGTCCTAACTTGCACTCCGGACCAGAGCTACCCAAGAGTGAGGAATTTTTAAAAAAAGGATTAAAACAATTCTTCTTGCTACCTCTTGCTGTTTGCTGAAGCACAGCTTGATCAGCTCAGAAGTTATGACCCGTAATTCACATATTCTTTCAAAAGACCCAGGGGGTTCAATAAGCGGTGGAAATGGGGGAGAAAAGTGTCAGCTTTGTAGTGTTCTCAACTTTGTCTGCACTTCTGCAGCCATGTGGTCAGTGCTGTCTTGCCCTCAGGTACTCTACCACCAACTCCTCTGAACTCTTCTGGCTCAGTAGCATCCCAGAGAGGCCTGAGTCATACGGATAGACTCACATAAGGGAATCTGCCCACTGCCTTAAATGTGTGCTGCCTGGCAACTGTCAGACCTTTTTCTCTCTCTCTCTAACACCTAGTGAAGCAGATATATTAGTCAAAGTGAAAAATGTAATACAAAAATGACCTCCCAGTACATTTAAATCCTGAGATGGAGAGCAATCAAAATAATGGGCTCAGATCGATCATAAAATTTGCAGTGATGTGAGTTGAAGCTTGAGGTTTGGGCTTTAGAGCATAGGAGCTTGAACCACACCACAAAGTGAACAAAAATATCTCTTAGAATGTTTCACCACACCCAGTGTTGCCAGAAAATTCATGCTGTCCCTTATTTTCTTCTACCTCACCTTTTTATACTGACTGATGGGACTTGAGGGGATGCCATGTGAAAGGATATCACATAGCACTGCACACTAAGAGCGTAGCTGGCTGTATGTCAGCCTACATATCCCTGAGCCTGAACCAGTCATCCAGCTCTTTCCAGGATCTGGAATTTAGAGAGACATTGTCTCTGTCACCTTTGTCCTTTTACGTAAAATATAGCACCATTTCTTGAAGCCAGTTTTGACTGCCAGTGTGCGTCCTGTTTGGAGCTTTCGTGATAGCTGGCCAGTGGAGCCCCACCGAAAGTCCCTTGGCAGTGTAGTCTATACGGCTTTGAGTGTATTGCAGTCAGTTGAAACCTTCATGTTGCATTTACTGTGACTTTAAAACAAAACATGGCCAGTCATAAAATACAAGTGTCTACAAAAAACATTAATATTTGCTCATATTTCCTGTGTGGTGGCCCGGGAAATGACATCTTTCCCCTATTTCCCTTCAATACCAGAAAAAAATTGGTATGTCACTGGTAAGCACTGGCAAATACTGGTAACTTACAGCTCCATATCCACAAGGGAGAGACTGCTTTTTCAGAGATTCATCCTTGCCATTTGATAAAGAAACTGCATGGCCAACTCTGAGGAAAGAGTTGTGAAGTCTTTGCCTTGAGTGGTGTAGTTCTGTGAGTGAAACCCCAATCTCACTCATGTTTTGTTAGTGGCTGCAAGATGCCGCTGCAGTTGTGCCATCAGAGGAGTGTTTATGGTGGCACGGCCAGGACAATTACCTGGCTACGAGTGGGAGTCACTATGTGATAGGCTTCCATTCCTTGTCTTCAACTCTGGGGTCACCCCCTGAGGTAAAACAGGTTTATTGTGTATTTAAACTGGCAGCAGAGCCTGTAGAGATCTGTTGTTCAGATGGAGAAGTTGTGGTGCTTTTGGGTAAGTCAGCGCATGCAGCACAGCTATTCTTTCCGCTTCATAGCGGTGGCTGGTTAGGGTTCAATACCAAGGGAAGGAGGAAAGAAGCTATTTGTGATTATTTAGAAGAGATACAGAAGAGACCAAAACCAGCAGTAACAGATGTGGTAAAATGTGATGCAGGAGGGCTGTGCTGTACTTACCCCGTTACAAATTCAGAAGAACTGAAGTATGCAGTTATATACATTATTTCCCTCCTCACGAGTTTTCTTTCCTGCTCCTTCAATTTAAAAAAAAAAAACCCCAAACCAACCCCCAAAACCAGCAATAAAATTATATTAAGAGGGCAGAACTAGAGCGGAAAGCGTGGCAGAAAACCAGGGATCTCTTCACCATGCCTGGGAACTGCACAGGGAAAGGAGAAAATTAATTGGTTCTGTCCTCTATGATGCATTGGGTATTGGGTTTACAGTTGGAAAACAGTTGGCTTTACAGCAAAAGGTTGTAATCTGTGACTGCTGTCCTGCTTCTGCATTTAGTAAGGGCATCCTGGCCAAACGATTTCACATTTAGTTTTTGTGTGACAGATTTTGTCCTGAGCAGCATTGGGGTGTAACTGATAGCCTGCTTTCTGAAAAGCTGCCCCTTTCCAAAACTTTTAATAAGGATGGAATTTAAGTCAGAGAGAAAAATCTTACCTCAAACCATGTTGTATCAGATAAATGAAGTACTGATTTAACATACTTGATGTCCCAGATATAATTTGAATTGCTAAAGTCTGAAGGCTTAGTTGACCCACAGCACACTGGCCTTGTTGATGCAACTAGAATGATAATTCAACAGTGAATCTCTCTTTCCATTAGCAAAGTTAGCTAATATTTTGAAGAGTGCTGATTTCAGGGGCCTCTCTTAAAATTTTCATTTGTGGATTACTTAAAGGAGCATGATTTTTAGATGACAGTCTTGAAAATCAGAGTGCTAAGGTATCTGAGGATTGATCTTCAGTATTAGAGCCTCTTGTAATTGTCAACTATTTCTTGAACTGTTTACTGTAGTTTCTAGACTTCTAAGAACATAAATACAAATTTTTCATTTGTTTGAAATGTGTTGAATACCATTTTACCTCAAGTATGATGAATATAGGACATTTTTAAGGCAGGTACATTTCTGGATACAGTTCACTGGTAATTGCTTTGCACAGTAGTTCTAAGACATTTAATTGTTCTAACAAGTGTACTAAGTGGAAATGCTTATTATTATTGTTTTTAACTATCAAGTCTTTCTTTGGGTCTCTCAGCAGCAGGTGGTGAAACAAACCAGGCTCCTGGTGTATTTAAACAAGCAAAGGAAAAACTCTCAGTGAGTAAAATCAGCTTATCATTCATCTTTATAATCTCATTTTGTCCTTATTTCACATCTTTTTATGTTAATTCAGTAAGTAATTGTGTGTTCCATTTGAAATTTGTGTTCCATTTAGAATTTGTTTGCCATATTCATTATTCATTTAAAAGGGTAATTAAAACCACCTTTCCTGACTAACCTCTGAATTACAGTCCCGAGTAGTAGATGATGACAGTTTGCATCACATAGGGGCACACAGACTCCAAACTGCAGGAGTTGGATGTTGTTCAGCATTTTGAGTGAGGTCATCCACCAGGATAAACTCTGTACCTTGGCCCTTTCTGCAGCACCCGACCCGTACTGCCACCTTGCGTGGTGCAGGCAGAAACCTTCCCCAGGACTCGCTGGATGTCTTCTGATGCACCCTTACATAGCCACGCATTCTGTAGAGGTCATGCCTGTATAGAAGTTATTGGCCAATAGCATTTTATGTGCAATTAAGTGATTTCTGAATGGCTGTTTCCTGGATTGCTGATTTCTGTCTGTTTTAACCTGACAGTTACATGCCCTGCCTTCAGCTGCTCTGCATCCTGTTCTGCTCCCTGTGTCTGCCTCTCCTCTGTTGAGTTTCCTTCAGCAAATGCTGCAATGCCTCTCCACCCTGCTCCTGTGCTGACCCTGCACTCTTCCTGTCCCACCACTCCAAAATCCCCAGGAAACCAACCTACTTTCACCATCCCCTATGCAACCCTCTTACAGGACACTGACACATCCTGATTCACATCTGCAGCACAATACCCTGTCATTATTAGCCATCATTAACAATGCAGAAATTCCTTAGGATTCCTCTAAATTTCCTAATATATTCCATGACTGACTTGTTTCATCTGTCTAACCAGATCATCAGTTCTTTGGAGAACAAAAAATTTGGTCTCAAGTGTTGCACGTTATTTATGAATCATTAAAAATTGCTAATAATGATAGCAGCATAATTGATTGGAGGCTTTGGAGGAGCTGTGAAATTTAGACCTGAATTCAGCCATGGATTCTGGGATTTCATCTGTTTTTTCAGGTCTGATCCATTTCAGCTCATAACTGAGAAACTGCTAGAGCTTCTTTACTAGTACAGTAAGAAGTATCTAGACAGGTTTCTGGTCTGAGCCAATGGTATGGTTTATTATTGTCTGTCTTGGGGAATGATCAACACTTAAGCAAGAGAAGTCAATGCTAGCCCATTTTCAGAGTCATCTGTGTTCATGGAGTGCTCTAAGTACAAGCGCTGCAAAATAATTCTCTGAAATTACTGACTTTCAGTACACCTTTCTTATTCCTGTCCCTTACGTTATGTCAAAGATCGCAAGTCTGTCCCCTGCTGCCTTTCTCTCTCTGTTGCCTCACTTCTCCAGTTGCCACACGCGTATCTCTCAGATGTTTTCTCTTCTGTGCTTTGGCTTCACCTCTGCTTTTATAAAGACCTCTCCCTTTTTGTTGTTGTGTTTCTTCCTGATTCTCAGCTTTGATGTCCTTCAAGTGCAGCCTTTTCCTCTCCACTGGTAATGTTAGATCATCCAATAGGTCAGTTTTGTTATCCATCTTCAAACTAGTTCACCTGCTGCTTTGCAGAACGCATTCAGGAAAGGCTGAGCAGTTCCATCTGCTGGAAGGAGCTGTGTACCTGCAATAGCAAGATGCTGAAACCATGAGCCATGTGTTAGGAATACCTCTGAAATAAAGTGAGGTTTCTGCATCCCAGTTTCAGCAGTCTTAGGGTTACGTAGATCTTTGTCCTGTGGGCAGCTGGCACTTCCAGCAACATGAATTATAACAGAGGTCAAAGGTAATGTATTGCTAACAGAGAAGAAGAATAGTTTTCTGGGTAAAGCGCAGGCAGGGATTGAGGCATTTGGTTTCTTTGCTTGCTGTACCAGTCTTGAGGATGTCACTGAAATCTGATTGGGCCAGATTTTGCTGCTATTACCAAGGCTAAAAAGTGCCTCACTCCCTGAGTAACACCAAGGGGATCTAGACTCTAATAATCTCGGAGCAGTGCATTAGCTCAAGATTATGCCTTTTCCCCAGCTGTTCCATTGAAAGGTCTCAGTCTTGCCCATCTCTAGCATCCCCATTAGATGCACATATTCACGGAGGACACTGTGTGCAATGTGAGTGAAAAGGACAGGGTCTCTACATTGTGCCTAGAATCTCAATCTGTGAGGGTTTACCTGTCTTTTTAGGGGAAACATTTTCATGACCTGTAAGTTGAAAAAAGCAAAAACCACTGAATGAACATTTGGGCCTCAAACTGTGCATGCTTAGTTATGTCTCAAGTTCAGAAAACTGAACTGTGTTGTAGGCCTGGAATTGTTACACAGTTCTGCAACTCTTAATCATGTTGAAGATGTCAGGGGTGACATTCAGCACACCAGCTTCAGTTTTCTGTAGGCTAGATATGTAGCCTAAGCCAGATGCCTTTAAGTAGAGAGCTGACAACCAATTCTTTTCTCATTTTCTAATAAAGACAACATGAGGAGTAATTAGGACACCTTTTCTTGAAGGCTGAGAAAGTCTAGGAATACTGGTGTAACTTTGCTTTTAAGATTCCCACTGGTTTATTCTTGCCTGTAGCCTGGAGGGATATATTTCAAATGCACACTTAGTTTTAAAGGACTAGGATCTCTTTGTGCTCCTGTAGTTTTGCACTCACTTCTAATGCAGCCAACCAGCAGTTGTACCAGTTAAATGCCATACCTCGCACCAGTTTTGTCCTGTTAACAGAAGACAAAAATAGCATTTGCAGAAAAAGTCGCTTGCTAGAATCAGTCACACGACACAGAACTAAAACTTTCATGCATGGCAGAACTGCATAGACACCATTACCAGACACGGGAAAAGTATTAATTCATAGCTTGGCTTTTTTTTTTTTTTTTTTTTGTCCATGTTGCATGTGTTTTTGTTTTGTCCAGCTTCATGTTGTGTTTTCTTTTGTTTGTTTTCTCATGACTAGACTGCCTCTTTGTCAAAGATTCCTGCCTCAAAGTCTAGAGCAAAGTCATTGCTTCCTCCAAGACCCAGCTCAGCTTGCTCATTAACTACTAAAAGGGCCACTTTTCTCGATACAGACAGTTATTATGTACGGCCCTCCTCAGCAGGCCCAAGAGACTGCTTGCCCTACTCAAAATCAGATGCTAAGGTAAGGTAGCAGAGTTGGTAGAGAGAGTTAGCTTGGAGATGTGTAGGTGAATTCCATGGATCACATTCTCTCCTCAATGAGTTTGAGTAATTCTCTGTGAAGCTTACGTGGGATTACTTAGATCCAGTGGCAGGAAAACTGATTATCAGGCTACAAAATGGATAAAACCAAAGGAGATTCTCCAGAGGAAACATAAGTGAAATAAGTTATAACTAGAAGGACATACCTTCTTTCTATTGATGATATGGACGCTGCTTCACTGACTGCTAAGAAGTTGCACCCATTTGCACAGGGGTAAGTGGCAAAGAACAGAAGTACTAATGTGCCTTCCAAGTTTAAAAAACGTAATTTCCAATCAGCTAATATTCTCTGAAACCAAATTCAATCCCCAGTGTAGGAGGGTACAGTTCTGATCACCAGCAATAAGGGCAGAAGCCGAATATTCTAGGAACCTAATTTGGTCTATACATGCAACCATGTTGAAGAAGTTGCAGTATAAATTTAAAGAGAGGTTTGGCAGGCCATCCTAGCTTCCCCATGTTTACATTTCACTTGTGTTTCAAATCTACTCGATGCTGAGTTCATGACTATCCCCATTTAAAAACCATTTTCACTATTGACTCCATTTTCTGTGTAACGCTATGCTTGGTGTGTCTTTTACTGGTTGGGACCATCATCATATTTGCCTTTGGGAGCACTATCTGCTTATGCAAGACTGTCTTGGGCTGCCTATCCCGTAAGTTCAAAAATAATCTAACGTACATGCCCATTGCTCTAACCCTGGTAAAAAGAAGATACCTGCTGATTTCAAAAAGTAAAAAGATGAGTATGCAAGGAAATAAGAGAAGACACCAGTCTACACTCAAAAAATAAGCTCTAGCTAAAAATTTTTCTCTGTAAAAAAAATTACAAGTTAGTGTTTGAAAATGCAAAAATCTCGCATCACCTAGCTATATCGTGTGGGGTGTATTCTGGGCACCAGTACTGCAGTTACTTTGCAGGTCAATTTAGATGAGAACTTCATAGCTGAGCTCCAGAGAATTTTTTACTTTCAACTAGCACTAATAAACACTTGTTCCTTATTAAGAACAAAATGTGGAATCCATCCATATTTGGATCCAAGAGTATCTGTATCTGTCTTAAGTAGCTCAGAAGATGACTATTGGGTGTTTTGATGCAGTAAAGAGGCACCAGGGAGCTAAGCAGAGCATGGGAGGTGGCTGGATCCCCCCCAGCTTCCTTTGTGAGTAGTAAACTTAGACCCATAGGATGAGGCTTCCCCCTCTGTATATAGGTTGAAAGAAATCACAGCCAAGAGAGTGAGTTTTGAAAACTAAACCTTCCTTTTTTTTTATTTTGCTGCTACTAGGATGGAGTAAGCAAGAGTCCCGAAAAGCGTTCCTCTCTACCAAGACCCTCCTCTATCCTTCCTCCTCGAAGAGGTGTATCAGGAGACCGAGACAGGGAGGAGAATTCTCTCTCCCTCACAGCTTCCCTTTCCTCTTCAGTACGACGGACCACCCGTATGTTTTTTGCATATTAACCCTCTCCTACTGCTATGAATGTCTCCCACCCTTGTTGGATTTGTCACATTGCATCATGTGTCCCTACCTTTTATGCAAATGGTAGGTCTGGGGTATGCTGTTGGAAGTCAGAGCCCCACAGACTGTTTTTGTTCAGATACTAAGTGCTGAGCAGCAGGGGCTTGAAACCAGGGACAGGATGCACCCTTTCCATAATCTGCAATGCCCAGAGCTAGGACTGCTGTTCAGACTAATCACTAATATTAGAAAATCCCTTTGCAGGGACCTCAGAGCTGGGTAAGATACTTAACAGACGACATTTACAAACAGCAAGAAAAATGAGACAAACCTGAAATAGGCAATATAGAATATTCTTGGAAAAGTGAACCTAATATTACAGTCATTAACTTGCTGTTTCACAGTAATGATCTCCCTGTGCTCTAATCTTAGGGTAAAAACTGCTGAGAATTGAGGTGTTAGCTAGTGGAGTGACTCACTGGGGGAAGTTAGGATAGTAAACCAGCAAGGTCCTTTTATGAAGATCAATGTTAACCAAATCACAAGCAAAAAGAAATTACAGGACAAAGAGAATTTTACCAAATACCCCCAGAATTTTTAGATAGATTTGCATTCAGCCCAGGCCTCAGAACCTGGATGTGGCTCTCTGCTTTCCAATAGGAATTCCTCTGGTTTCTCTCTTTAGAAACCAATTTCAGCCACTTTTAAGACACCTTAAGGGAAAGTAGATGATTAAATTCTACAAAAAAAAGTCCCTTGAAATTCTTGGGTGATGCTCCAAAGGTAAAACAGAGACCTTTTGCAAGTGGAGCTGACTAGGAGTAAGGAGGCCATGGAGCATTTGCCAATGTGGTGAAAGGCTAAGGAATGAAAAATAAATATACCAAAGCTGCAGGGAGCTGGGAAAAAAAGTCTTCCCTTTCTGTCTCAGTTGGTATAGTGAGAAGGTTCTGGTTTAGGGTTGGTTGGGAAAAAAAAAACATTTAGGGAAACTGGAGGTGAGTGGAGTATGTACAATCTGTCTAATGAGTCATGTACAGCAAAGAGTTTCTCCTGGACCCAAGGGGCAGCAGTGCATTGCATTTGGTCCACCACCATTAAATAAACAGAATGATTGATAAACAGTTAAGATTTTGACTGATCCCACTGGATGCTCTAGAGATTCCCATTGGATTTATAATTCCTGAACGCTTTAAAGATGAAAACATGCATGCACCCATCTGGCATTGGGGTTCCCGGGCTTTGGGGCTTGGTTTGGTCTTTCTCTCCCTGAGTATTCTCAGCAAAGCTTTGCTTTAAGCAGCATATGGAGGTATCTCGGCTTCTGTTCATTTGTGTTTGAGAGTTGCCAGCAGAGCTGGCTGCAGAAAGCACGATGCCACTACTAAACTGGTTCTTATGCTCGGTGAAAAGGACTGGCAATGCCATAAACACTGAATGGAGCCACTACAAAATGTTGCAGTGTTTATTTATTTTTAACTTGCCACGCAGATGTAACTAGAATGTGACTTTTAATCAAGGTTGCCTTCTGTAATGGCGTTCTTTCACTGCACTAATGTAAAATAGGAATTGAGTGTGAGGGGCATCTGCCCATCCACGCAACAGAGCTATGACTTGTTCATCAGCTGAATGGTCACCCAGGGTTCAGCTGCAGACACCAGATTACCAGCAGTGGTATGTGACCAGCAGCAGCCCAGGCACTCAGAGCCTTCAGTTTCAGCGTTACAGTCAGAATTTTCCCCACTCTCTAGTTTAACACCCAAATCCATTGAAATTGGTGACAGCATTCTTACTGGCTAGTCAGGCTGTCAGTTCAAGTCCCAAACGTTAGATTCCAAGGGTGCTTCTAGTCCTTCTCCAAGACAGAAACCGATGTGATACTGTACCCTGGTTAGTGAGCTTTGCAGGATATAGGTGTTGTGGGAAGCACACCTGTGTTACACAACAGAGAGCTCAGACACCATGTGGGTAATTTACCAGCTCAGCCACACGTGAGAAGGTAACTGCTGGCAGGTTGATTAGCAAAGTAAGACACAGAGGCAGACATCCAGCTGTTCCAGCACTAGTACAACCATCTTGGAGCTTTGTCTTGCTTGGCACACAGGGATGCTGTCTTGGGAGATGCAGAGGGAAGAGCAGCTGTATTTCTGTGGGTCTAACGCTGTTTTTTTTTTTCTTCTTGCCTGTAGGATCAGAACCAATTCGTAGCAGAACAGGAAAAAGTGGAACTTCTACCCCCACTACTCCTGGCTCCACTGCCATCACTCCAGGGACGCCACCAAGCTATGCCTCCCGTACCCCAGGCACTCCAGGGACACCCAGCTACTCCAGAACCCCACACACTCCAGGGACACCCAAATCTGCCATACTGGTACCTACCGAGAAAAAAGTTGCCATAATTCGCACTCCTCCTAAATCTCCAGCCACTCCGAAGCAGCTACGAGTTATTAATCAGCCTCTACCTGACCTCAAGAACGTCAGGTCCAAAATTGGATCAACGGATAACATCAAATACCAGCCTAAAGGGGGACAGGTAAGGATTCCACTCTTTATGTTCATGTGTATGTGATTTAGTCTTATGCGTGCACCTTTGGGACAGGTATGGGAGTGGAGCCATTTTGAGTTGCCTTGCAAATGCTGCTTCTGTTGTCCATATACATTGGTTGTTTAAGTGATGTTAAATGGCAGGGGCCAGGACAATCTTCAGAAAAGTATCTTGTCACCTCAAAACTAACAGTACCTCACTGAGATCAGCTGAACAACTTCAAGCAAGTGTTTGCACTCCATGCCATAAATGCGTTTCAGCCCGAGTCACAGCAGTTGCTGCTTAGTTAGTCTTCATCAATACCAGCAAATGAAAGAGGTTTGTTTTAATTCAAGCAAGTTCAAATTCAACCTAGATTGATGTTAGCAAGATATCCAGCACCATGACCTTTTCCTGTGTCATATTACATGGCATGTGCATTGTGTTGGGTGATGTTAATGAGGGTTGCAGTCTCTAACCTGATAAATCCACCCCAAGTTAAAGATTATGGGAGGGGACAGATATTCGACTTAACTTTTTCTTGCTGCAGGGTTTGAATAAGCAGGAACAGGGCTTAAATTGTATAAACTAGAGGATGCATTTAAACATACAAATGCATAGAAAACAAGAAAAGGTGAGTGTATAAAAAGGCAGATCAGGATTTTCTGTTTTCCCCGTCTGAAAGAACAAGAATTCAGGGACATGTTAATGCAATTAAAAGCTGAAAAAAGAGATAGTTTCCTATCTTGCAGTTATGCAACGAAGCATACTGTCATGAGGATTGCTTTCAGCTAAAGACTGAACATGTGTGTAGGGTAGCAAAATCCCCTGTTACTACAGATAGAATTTACCGAACTTTGGAAACTATTTGGAACACTGTTGTTCTAGCTTACAGGATGAAGCGGTCTATTTTATTAATATTTAAAGAGTTATAAAACCATTTATAACCTGAAAGAAATCCTATTTTATTTAGAAACAAAGAGGCTGAATGAGGAAAAAGAATATAGCTTACCAACATTTATGCTAAAAATATGGACAACTCAATTTTGTGGATGTAAACAATTATGTTGGTTTTGTTTGGTTATTTGGTTTTGTTTGGGTTTTTTTGTAAAAAGTATCTGTGCACATTTCGTCCTGATTCTGGACACAACTCCATGACAAAAACACCCCGTGCCCCCAGATCCCTTTTCCTTCCCTGAGATTGCTGCTTTACAGCAGTGGCAGTATGGGTGCTTTAGGAAAGGTTCACTTCTCAGGTACTTCCAGGGACAGGACATCATGGTGAATAACATGCTCCCCCATTCAGCTGCCCTGAAAACAAGACATTCGAGAAAGCTGGGTTGCACAGTGTTTCCAGATCAGATAATTTTATATACATGTATGAGTTTTGGAATACATAGTGGAACATACAGAACACTGAGGTTTGCTTAATGCTGTCTCAGTAAAAAAATAATAATTTGGATCAAAACTTTACATTGCAACCCTATGACTACTGCAGGTCTTCCAGAGGAAAAAAAAAACCAGGTTCATATATTAAACAGTAAGGTATCTCTTGAGGTGTTGATCCTATTTTCATGGTAAATTAACATATTCAGTGCTCTCCAGGATTTGGACAGCAGCCAGCTTCTCAGATAAAGTCAAGATAATGTCTCAGCAAAGGTTCTTCTGCCTTTATTTTGACAAGTGTCTGTGTAATTATTTCGTGTGGGAGTTGAACTCCCATTTGACATATTGCGTAGCAGATGGTCAGGGTGCACAGAGGCTCCAGGATGCTTGGAACACAAGCTCAGACTGCATCTGGATTAGCATTCCTCATAACAAGCCCAGCTGCTGGACATGGGGCTAGAAACCAGCACCATGGTAGCCTATCCTCCTCCTCCCTGTTACTCTCTGTGGACTCTAACAACCGTACAGGACCAGGGGGCCACAAGAAATCGTATTTCTTTGTAAACACTGTGCCTAGATTTCCGTAGCAGTTCTACAGAGTTGCACAGTCTTTGCTGGGTGGTGAAGAATGGCACAGCAGTTGGAATTTTGCTCTTTTGGAAATCACAGGGGAAATCTGCTGAGTGGATGTGATGTCACTGAAGCTAGAGCATTCTTTAATTCCCAGCAGTATGTGGCCACTCAGCTGTGGGTTGGGCAAAGAGAGACTCATGAGTTTTTTCCTTTATGTCTCTATTATGCCATAGTTGCTCAGTCTAGACAAGAGGTTTTAGGATTAATTCTTTTCCAATTTCTGCAGTTGAATTTTATAGAGTCTGTGAGAGGAACACATGAAAGCTAATTTCATTTCCTTGTGTCTGCTCACTTCTTTAATGTCTGGTGGCAAATACTGCACTGGCTGAAATGAGCTGTTATCTGCTATCCGCTCTTAGTGATGATACCTGAAACAAACAGAAAGCTGCTCAAGTTTTATAACCTGAACTGGAAGTGCTGATAGCAGTAACCACAGGAAAAACAAGCAGACAAAAAGCCAGCATATACCTGGGCAAGTACATAAGCATGATGTGCAGATCACTAAAGGAATACAGATATGCAGCCCAAAAGTGGCATTTGGAGACAGACTATCCTTTTACAGGAGGCATATCTGAACCTAGCACAAGGTCTTTTCTTAGCTTACAGCTGTCCTGGAGAAGGCAGCCACATTCTGAAACTGCCAGAGGCTGAGGTATAGAAATGAAGAAGCAGGGGATGTCTGAATGGTAAATAAATCAAGAAATGCAGTGCTTCAGCCTTGAATTTCATCAAAAACTCATCAGACAGCAGACTGATTTTACTTCAGCTCTGACTTGCTAGCCACAAAAACAAAGAAAAGGAGAGAAATCACTCCACCTGACAAGGTGGGGGGAAAAAAAGAGCCTGCTTAAAAAAGAGCATTCTTCTGGGGGAAGAAGCAAGCTAACTTTGCGTTGCATTAAGCTCCTACTAGGAATAGATGGCTTGAGATGTGTTTAATTGGTATTCTGCAGTCTGGAGAAATGAGGCCTTCTCTGCTCTGTGATGCAGCCAGTAGGTGGTTGTCTGGTTTTCTCTTTACAGTAGAGTACGGTGAAATGTATCATTCTTGGCAAAGCTCAGAGGCGACTTGCTCATGGGTATGTCTGCTGGGCTTCAGATGGATTTTCGCACCGCATCAGCTGTGGAGGAAATGCTGTGCTTTCAAAAGTAACCCATTAGCATCTGTTATTTCTCAGACAGCCCAAGGGAAGCATGGGGGAATTGGGGGAAGGGGTTGAAAATTTCTTTCAGATGCCAAGAATGGGGTTTTTCTTCTCTGTTTGGATTTTTTTTCTTGGAATTCTGTCTATGGATGTGGTTCGTACCGTATCAGACTACAAAAGTGCACCAACTGAATCCTTTTCATTACTGACCAGGCAGAGTATTTATGAAGCATCATAGGCCAGCAACCAAGGTTAAAGCCAACCTAGATTTCTTTTAATTTAATCTTAAAATGTGTACATCAAAACTCAGCCATGGGCAAGAACTTCAGTGGATGTGAATCAAATAGCTTCCTCAAAGTGAATGGAGCTGTACAGACTAGAATGCCATGCATAAGGTTTAAAATATCACTAATTATAGTAACAGCTAGGCACCTTGTAAGAAGTTAGATGACACATAGAAAAATGAAATACCTAAGCCATGTTGAAGAATGAAGTGTTCTTTGAAGATTTTTAGGAAGATTAAGAACAAACTTCACCATCTTCCCTAAACTGTACAAAAGCACAATTAGTCATGGGTCAGAAAGTCTGCATAGATCAATGACACCACTATTCAGTAGAATCTGTCCAGAAACCACAAAAATGCTGGCAAGGAGAATAGGCATCTGCATTAGATGATAAAATAGACCAGCACAGGGAAGGATAAGACATCTCAGAGCTGGGCAGAGGTGGAGCTTGGATGGCTATCTGTTGTCATCTTTGCACAATGTTTTGTTAGCTTCAAAACCAGTTTGGATGGCAGGAGAGATTCCCCCACAACACCCTCCCACACACCCTCATCCTCACAGCTTCGACCCGGGTTGCTGAAGTGTTCCCTGCCTCAGATACCACCTGCCAGGTTGCAAAGTCAGTGCAGAGACAGACAGGTCTGGTGACCCAACAAGAGCCGAGCACCTCCTGGGAGAACTGCAGGTCAAAACGGTATTCAGCAAGTTCCCCTTGAGACAGCATCTTATAACTCCTCTTCATCCTGTTTCACATGTCTTTGCACCACGTTATGAACACTGATGACAGCCCAAAAAGTAATCTGAAGATCTAGACCATATGCTATTGGTACACTGGCTGATGAAGGCTGTCCTAAAAGGTAGTAGAGAATATAGTCCTAACAAAACGTGCAATCTGAGCTGTTGCTGGGTCCAATTCTGTCTCCTATCTCCTTCTGACACATCATGCACTTTTTCTACAGTCCGTTGTGATCTGCGGCATAATTGAGCCAAAACCACTTTGACTCAGGTTAAGAGAATGTCTCTGCTCTGGACAGTAATGAACATAAATGAGCTTATAAGGTTCAAGCTTTGGTGCTTTCCTCAACCAGAGCCACAGCAGGCAGCTGTGTAGAGAGATGTGGATTGACATTGTAATGTGGCTGTTGTTAAAGTACTTAGTTAATGGGAGACTGGAAGGCAATTGTTTCCACACTGTTAGCTGCATTCATTGAATAAGTTTGTGCATTTACCAAGTCAACAGTTCATAACTGTAAGATAAATTAATCTCTGTCAGTCTGCTTTTGTTTCCTTTATATGTTCCCAGTGTTGCGGATTTGCAAGATATTTGAAGGGTTTTGTTCTGGCCTGAAAATTAGAAACTAATTCATCCCTTGTTAATTGCAGATCTACAAACACACAGAGAAACCAGAGGTTTCAGGCACACCTTCAGAACTCTGTCACAGCTCAAAACCTTAATTTTTAAGTTTTTGAATTTTAGAATTTTGGCTGATCATTGCAGATTGTACAGAAATAACACCTTGCAGCTCCTGTGTTCAGACTGCACTCCTTTAATGGAAGGCTT